TCAGTCTACACTCTCTCTTCCCACACATCCCTCCTTCTTTCCCAGGTGTCAGATCAACATCACAGTTTGAGGCTGTCCCCGTCTACTTCTGTGCCCTCTCCCTTTTATCCTTCACAGGCATTTGCCCCAGAACTCCACTTCCAATTCTGTCTTGGTGTCTGCTTCTTGGAGGGCCTAGCCAAAAGAGAAACATTGTAAGATGGTTGTTCTGTTTGTCATCATGCGTTGACTTCTTAAAAAAAGTATTGACTTGACTCAAACTCTTGCCTTTAATAATACCAAAGGAACTAAAATTGTTTGCTAAAAACTGGTTCTCTTGGATATCCCAACCCGGTTGACTTTAATTAGGTGATTGGCATCCGGGGGACTGATTCTCTAGATTGAGGCCCTGAAGGATGCTTTCATTAAGGCTGCAAATGGAGGACAGCTAAATAGAGAAGTGAACTAAGAAAGAATACTACATGAGCTCAGGAAACTAGAGGTACAACATACGCTGCAAAGAGAATCTTGGGGTCAAACATGGGAGCGATGGACAGCTGCTCTCCGAGGCAGGCTGGGAAATGAATCCCTGACAAGACGTCATACTCCCGTATATGCCTGGTGTACTAGTTTCCTAGGGCCGCCATAACATACTATCTCAAATTGGGTGGCTTAAAAAACAAAAATTCATTCTGTCACTGTTCTGGAGGTCAAAAGGCTGAAATCAAGGTGTCGGTGGATTGGTTCCTTCTTGAGAGCTCAGAGGCAGAATCTGTCCCATACCTTCTCGTAGCGCCTAGTGGTTGCTGGCAATCCTTGGCATTTCTTAGCTTGTGGCAACATAACTACAATCTCTGCCTCAGTCATCACACGGTGCTCTCCCTGTGTTTCTCTGTCTCTGTGTCCAAGTTTGCCTCTTCTTATAAGGACAACAGTCATATTGCCTTTAAGACCCGCCCCCCTCCCCCTTAACCCAGCACGACCTCATCTTAACTTGATTACATTTGCAATGTCCCTATTTCAAATAAGGCCACATTCACAGGTTCCAGGCGGCTATGAATTTTTGGGGGACATCATTCAACCCAGTACACCTGGAAACTTGAGTGAGTAAAACCTAGCGTTTAGATTGGTGTCGTAAGAGATGAGATGAGAAGGCATTTTCTGGTGGTGAGCCTTTGAAAACAGGAATTTAGGGTCTGGTTGCAGGATCTGAAACATCAGAGGATATAGTTTCTGTCTTCTTTCCTGACCATGCCTCCTCCACAATTCCGAGGACACTCCCCTTGGCTTCCAGTCTCGAGAACACAATGAAGTAATTCGGTTTGGTGCATTTGCCTTACTGCTTTACTGCCCACCCCCCTTTCATCCTTTCCATAAAGGAAGACAGAGAGCAGAACCCAAACACTAAACTGCCAGACTTGTGTTCAGGTTGGGGAGAGACGGTCACTGTGGGCGGAGTAGGGAGGCCACACCATTAGAGTGGAGTGGAGGATGGAATCTAGGTTCTTATTTCTCAAACAGCTTTCACTCAATCCTTCTTATTTTGTCACCCCTCTGCCCCAAATTCACTCCCAGATCCATAAGTACCCAGTATTGCCACTTCCTGAATCTTCTGGGGATTCTGTAGTAATCAGGCTGGTTCTCAGCTTCACCCAGTGCCAGCTCAGAATTTGTCTATCGGTCCTGCTATGTCAATTTCTACTCAACCATCTACCCTCTAGATTGCAAAATTTTGCTGCTGTTGTCTTTTTTCCTGTTTTTCTCATACTTGAGTTTTTTTGTGTGAGATCTATCTGTCCGTCCGTCCATCCATCCGTCCATCCATCCATCCATCTTCCTTTGTCATAGTCTTAGTGAGGCTTTGGAGGGAGTGAAGTTAGATGTGTATGTTAATCTGATACGGTAACCTGCAACTCCAGATTTAAAGAGATAGCAATCAATGATTGTGCGATTTCTCCTGTAATGTTGAGCTGCTCAGATACAGGCATGAAGTATGCACACAGTTAGATTTAATGAGAGTTGGAGTTTTGCCAGGTAAGCAATGGAGGGAGCAAGGGGACAGGATGTAAGAGTACTTGATTTGCAAGGGAGTAATTATATGATGTGCCCTGGACTTTGAAGCTGGGTAAGCAGGGTGGTACGAACATAAAGATGATAAAAGAGTGAAGAATTGGGAGTCAATGGGTTGGAGTCTCAAAGATTTTTGAAAAAGCGTTCATTTGGGCACACAAAATTAAGAGAGCAGAAAGGCTTGAAATTCAGATCTGGGATTTTTGGAGTGTGACCTTGGGAAGGGGTGATGTGCAGACTAGTTTCCAAAGATGACGCCAACAATCCCTCTCATCTCATCGGGCCTTCTACAACGTGACAGCGCCACTCCTGGACGAGGAGGTGGAGTCGGAGTCCTCGCCTCTTGAATCTGGGCCGGCCTGATGACTTGTGTATAACCAGCTGAGGGAAGCGAAGCCGCGTGACTTCCCAGGCAGGCACAAACTGTGTAGTTTCTTTCCGGCTCTCTTGGAATGCTCCCTCTGGGGAAAGCCAGCCACCATGCAACAGTCACACCACGCTGACTCTACCGTGCAGGAGAGGCCGCATGTAGATGCTCTGGTTCACAGCCAGCTGAACCCAACCTTCTAGCCCCCCCGCCAAAAGACCACACAAGTGAGCGAAGCTGTCTGGACCCTCCTAGACCAGCCAGCTGGGCACCTGAGTGACTTCAGTTGATGCCACAAGGAACAAGATGGCCCAGTTGGACCCCACCTGAATTCTTGCCCTACATAATTTGTGAAGTATGATAAAACGTTTGTGATTTGCAAGTCTCCATCCTCTGTCTGAGCCTCTCCCAGGGACTCCACACCCATACAGCCCACGGCTTCAGAACACCTCCACTCAGCTGGCTAAGAGGCGTCTCAAATCTAACATGTCCAAAACAGAGCTTGCCGCAGTCCCCTCACACCTGCCCTTCCCCTCCTGGTTAACTCCTCCGGTGGCCCAGGCCACAATGCTCGGTGTCTTCTCTCATTGCACTCTTGATCACATCCTCCATATCCAGTACGTTAGGGGTACCATTGTCCCTGCCGTCAAAACAGTCTCAGACTGCAACCCCTCCTCACCACCGCCCCTGCTACCACACTCATGCAAGCTGCCATCGCCTCTCGCCTGGATTCCAAGTCTCCCACAGGTCTTGCTGCTGCTGCCCTTGTTTGTCTTCAGTCTACTGAGGGATCCTGCCAAAATGTCAGCGTATATCCTTCCTCTGCTCAGAATTTTCCAAAGACCTTCCACCTCAATCCAAGTAAACAGATGCCGAAATCCATAGTAGGACCTCCGAGGCCTCCCTCACTTCTCCAGGTTCATCTTCTGCTCCTCTTACACTCAGCTACAATGGATTCCTCCCTATTCCTTAAACTGGATGAGCACAGGCCTGCCTCAGGGCCTTTGCATCAGCCGTTCCCTCTGTTAGAATACCCTTTTCAGAGACTCATGTGGCTAGCGCCCTCATTTCCTTCAGATACTATTCAAAAGTGAATTCCTGGAAACTAAGTACGGTGATGGATGTTAACTAGACTTACTGTGGCAATCATTTTGCAATATATAGAAATATGGAATCATTATGTGGTACTCCTGAAAGTAATATAGTGTTACATGCCAATTATACTTCAATTTTTAAACAAGCTCTTAGAAGAGCTTTTTCTAAATACTTACTATATCAGTGGAAAAATAAACAAAATTACACATCCAAAAAAAGTAGAAAAAAAATTTTAAAAGACAAACAAAAACAAGTATATTCTTCTGTGAGGCTTTCCATTGACATCACACCTAAATTTCAACCTGTCACACTCTGACATCTCATAACCCCATTTTCTACCTTATTTTATTTATTTTTTTATTGAGATATAACTGAGATATAACTTGATATTAGTTTCAGGGGTACCACCCAATGATTCAGTATTTGTATATATTGTGAAATGAGCACCATAGTAAGTAGCTAACATTCATCACCATATATAATACAAAATTTTTTTTCTTGTGATGAGAACTTTTAAGATCTACACTCTGAGCAACTTTCAAATATACAGTACAGTGTTATTACCTATAGTCACCATGCTGTACATTACATCCCCAAGACTTATTTATGTCATAGCTATAGGTCTGTGCTTTTTAACCCCCTTCACCCATTTCACCCTCCCCTCTGGCAACCACCAATCTGTTCTCTGCATCCATGAGCTCAGTTTTTCTGTTTTAGATTCCACATATAAGTGAGATCCTGTGGTATTTATCTTTCTCTGACTTATTTTACTTAGGATAATGCCATCAGGCATGCTGCCAATATTGTCACAAAGGGCAAGATTTCCTTCTTTTGTATGGCTGAATAATATCCCATTATCTACATACGTTACACATCTTCTTGATCCATTCATCCATCAGTGGACACTTAGGTTGTTTCCACGTCTTGGCTATTGTAAATAAAGCTGCAAGGAACATGGGGGTGCACAGATCTTTTCAAGGTAGTGTTTCCATTTTCTTTGGATAAATACTCAGAAGTGGAATAGCGGATCATGAGGTAGTTCTATTTTTAATTTTTCGGGGAACATCCATACTATTTTCCATAGTGGTCGCACCAGTTTGCATTCTCACCAACAGTGCACAAGGGTTCCCTTTTCTCCACATCCTTGCTGACACTTGATATTTCTTGTCTTTTTGATAATAGCCATTCTAACAGGTGTGAAATGATATCTCATTGTGGTTTTGATTTGCATTTCCCTGATGGTTAGTGATATTAAGCATCTTTTCACGTGATTGTTGGCCACCTGTATATCTTCTTTGGAAAAATGTCTGTTCAGATCCTCTGCCTTCCCTGCTTTATTTTTGTCCTTAGCATGTATCACTGTCTAACATACCATAGACTTTACTTATTTACTGTCTATTTCCTCCAGTCCAAGTAAGCTCCACGAGGCAAGCGATTTTGTCTAACTTGTTTACTGCTGTTTCTTTGGTGTTCAGAACAGTGCCATGCATACAGATAGCACAAGAAACATATTTATTGAAAGGGAGAATTTCTCAGTACGTTTTACACTACTCCAATCCAAGGAAAGAACGGGTATAAAAAAGGGGGCAGGGGAGACACAGCTAAAGAAAATTCTAACAGGTAAGAGCTATAATTATAGTTTCATTTGTTATGTCTTCTTTCAATCATTTATTCATAATTTTCCAATCGAGCTCTTGATGAATATCTGTGTTCAACGAAAAAGAAGTGAACACTCAGCCAAGTTCCTCTATTTCTCACAAGGCTCCTCTTTTGATTTGGAGTCCTTACTCTCCTGGAGTCCTAAGAGAATCGCATCCGCCTCAAGGAGAGTCGTGTCCGTCGTGGCTCCCAGGAACCGGGACGTGAGTTCAAGATCTAACAGCCGCAGCCGGACTCGGGTTCCTTTCTGGTATTTCCTAAAGAGGAAGAAAAAAAATTCCATGAATTCTTCACATCATAATATGGACAATTAGTTTAAAGTAAAATCCAAATTCTAATTTTAATTTCTGTTGGCTCAAGATAAAGAAGTTAACACTTCTTTTTTTAAAAAAAGTTAACACTAGTATCTGAGAAATTGTTGTTTTTGACAGAAAAGTAATTTAGTTGTATCAGAATTTTCATCATAAAGCTGCCTTCAAAGATTTTATAAACAAAATAAAAATGTATTCCACACTGAAATTCAAATAAGTCGGTTCTTGAAACTGACTTTTCAAAATTAAAGTCAGAGAGCAGCAAGGGGAAAAACAAACTTCCAGATACATTTTTTTCTTCTAAAATTAAAATCTTTTAAAGTAAAGTAAATTTTGCAAAAGCAAAATGGAAAAAAGTCTAAGTGCACGTCCTCAGTACTAGGGACTGACGCACCGTAACTGAAGTGGGGGCTGCCGTGACGCTCCCGCCAGCTCCCTGCGCTCAATACAACACCGAGCGTTTTATAAGACCAAGTTCAAACTGACACTCATGTGCTTTCCTTCCTTGATCAACTATTTTAAGAATTTAATCTCAACGTTATGAAAAGGTATGGGAGAGGGGAAATATTGCTATTGGTTTAAAACCACAAATCTTTATATACCTAGATATATACTTCAAGTACTTTAATTTTAAAATCAAAATAATTTTATATAAACAGAAAATGAAGAAACAAAGTTCTCAAAAAAAGTCACTGGAAAATGATTTTGGCAGACATAGAACAGACAGTCTCCACACAACGGCTGACTAGCTATTCTGGAAGAATTTAGAAGGGGTCAGAAAGTAAACATTTAGGCACTTTGACTTTTATTTTTTTTAAGTTATTTTTCTTTCTGATTATAGAAGTGAATGACCTTTTCTAAAATTTGGAAAATAATGAAGTCAGTCACAATTTCCAGTCCTTCTACATGTATATTTACATACATGTATATACGTGTGTATACTGACAGCACAGATCGTATTTCCTTTGTTTAAAAAAATTAAAGAGATATCCTGGAATATTAAGTGAGGCATAGCTTTACGTTCTTAGAAAACAGCAATTATAGGACATATTCCACTCGCATTCACCACGGGGAACACAGGGTGAGTTCCCAGACAGGTGAAGGCGGCCCGTCTCCCCCTCACCTGGAGCTCTAACTGGTTTCTCTTGGATTCTTTCATTTGTCCTCACAGCGACTCAGTGATTCGTTCGATCTGCCTTGATTCATGTTCACCCTTCCTTCCTTCCCCTCTCTTGAAATATCCAGTTAGTTATCAAGCTTGGTTCATTTTTTAATGCATGTATTTCTTGAACTGAGCCCTTCAAGTCTCCCCATCCCAGGCTAAAGCCTGAGGCACGACATGACCTTCCCAGGGCTCACCCTTCTGGTCCGCTTCTTGCGAGGGTGCAGATCTGGTGTGGTTGAGTGCAATGGCCGAGTGTCACCCCGAGTACTCCTCTGCACCTCTGCTCTGGTGAAGCGCTTCCTGAACTTTCTGTCTATCTAAATCCTACTGCTTCTTAAGTATCCAGGGCGGACGCATCTAATGCACCTCCTGAGAGCCTCGCATTCCGTGGGGCAGCATGAAGAGTGTCATTCGACTTCCCAAGGATGACAGAGGCCTTGCGGTCACAGCTGCGGATGCAAACCTGAGCCCTGCTACGTACTAGTTGGGTAACACCTCCTCATCTGTGTAACAGAGATTCCACTTGGCAGGTGTGCTGGGAAGGTTAAACGGGATAATAGCTGGAAAACGCCCAACACAGGAAATGCACACATTAGTGCCCTGCACTAACTGGTATCGGTTATCCATGTAAACCTCTGATTTCTCATTAGACTGTACGTTCCCCCAGATCTGGCGCTGCATTTCTCTCTGCATCCCTCCAGTGCCCATGCAGCAGGTACTCAAAGGTCCATCAATAAATTAACAAGACGCTTGTGGAGAAAAGTCACCAGGTCACGGATTATCTGGAACCTCCGTTTCCCCGGCTTGAGCAGCTGTGTGGACCAGTACATTTACATAACCTCTCTGAAATCTGCTTGGCACAGCGCCTGGGCACAGGGGTGAAGAAATGCTAGTTCTCTTCTCCGTCCGTTGTTCATTGTCGGCCTGTTTCTTTTTACTTATTTTTAGGAGCATTACTCATAGGTGGACTATAAACTAACCATGAGGAGGGAAACAATGACTTTTCATAAAAAGAGTTGGTCACGTCACAAACACTTGGGACAAAAGTTCTGGGCCCAGTGACACCGAGGAGGAAGCTCTCGGTGTAAATGTTCTCATGCCACACAAATGCTAGAAGTCTCCAATTAAAGAGTAAAACCAGAAACACCTGCGTGCAGGGACGCGCGGTAACTTCCGGAAGGCAGATCCCTGTCCCCATGTTTCGAGGCAGGAGCCTTTCATAATACGACTGCTTTGCCTTCGTGTCTAAAAACTACAGAAATTCCGGAAATTATCCAGGGAGCTGGTAAGGGAGATGAGAAGCAACTGCAGGCCCTGATGCATGCTGAATGAACGAAGAATCCCCAAATGCACTGACTCTGCACTAAACAGAACAAAACCCTCTGGAAGACCCTCTGACTTCTGCTATCAGAAGCAGCTCTTTCTGCTTTTATGGCACTTAATTTTTTCTTTGTATTATAGTTATTTCAACGTAGGTGCTATCTTCCCTAGGGACCGTAAGCGACGGGCAAGGATTCAGTCACGCCTGTGCCTCCGACAGGCCCGAGACGAACGCGTTTCACTGAATGTAGCCTTTTGAACAGTTTTGAACAGTGGTGTTCACGCTTCTGAGGCCATAGAAGCACCTGGGGTGCTTGTTTAAAATGCAAATGGGCGTAAGCAACCCCAGAGAGTGATCTGGAAATCTGGGGTGCGACTCGGGAATACGAGTTTTCAACCAGCTCCCCAGGTGACTCTGGCGCAGTCTTCTCTGGTCTCCACTCGGGAAAATCTGGCCTAGAATGACCTTTAAGGTGGACAGTCAGATGTCGGAGCACAGGCCAGCCTGTGCAATCCCAAAGGACCAGTAAAACAAGGCCCTCTGACAGAGCTGTGACCTCACCAACCTTCAAGAGTAACACATGTTTTCCCTGAGTGATGACAGAATCTTTTAGGGTAATTCAGAAAGACAAAAAAAAGTCAGGCAATAACAACATATAATACAGAAATGCACCTAAAAGGAGTCCCTTCCATAGACCCACTGACAGCCTGGAGCTGGCTGCCTCTCCCGCACACACTGTCCGTTCTGTGACATCCAGGACACAGAAAGGTCAGTGACTTTCTTCCTCGACAGGAACAGCAGCCATACAATTAATGTGGAGTTTAGCCTTGCTTTAACTTTGAGACACTTTATTACAGGGAAAGAACGAATGAACGAATGTATTTCTGAGAAGGGCCTTTCTGCCAGCGTAATCTCAGGAGGACCTTCAGTATTGCAGCCTTCGATAACCACTTACATTTCTCAGTCTTTCCATTTGGGTATCCATTGTTCCACATAACAAGATTTAAAATGAATGTGCCAGCAAACCCTTCCCAGATTGTTTGTGCAGTCTTTCAATGGTTACTTTATTGAGAGATTTTGGCCTAAGTATAAAAATACAGAGGAGGCAATACGGTGATGAACAGTATGGGCCAGATGACTAGATGCCTACCCAGCTCTATCGCTTATAAATATGCAACTCTGAGCTAGTTACTGTATCTCTCTGTTTCAGTTTCCTCATTTGTAAAATGGGGATAATAATTATGCCTTTCTGCTAGCTTCTGGTGAACTTGAAATGAGTTAACACATGCCAAGCCCTTATAAATGTTCAATAATGTTAGCTATCATCATCAACCATCATCATACTCATCACTACCGCCAGCATCATCACCATCATCAAAACAAACCCAGTGACACCTGGTACCCTAGTGTTGGCGTGATGGAGAGAACAAGGGCACTCCCAGTTATCATTCCAGCTACAATTAAGTCAACAGTGGATGCCTGCAGAAGGTAAATTCAGGGGTGGAGTTTGCTTTCAACATTTGCTTTGATGCAAATCCTACTTATTTTAACGGTATAAGCATCCCTCTCTTAAAATATATCATAACATAAGTGTTCTACGAACATGAAAACAATTTCTTTGGAAATGAATGTTGAATTTCCTTTAAGGATGTGAGGCAAAATAGCACTGAACAAAAGCAAGCAAAATTCAGAGAACCACACATTGAATGGTCCACATTTCCCAGCACTGAGCACAATACAGCTGGAAATAAGAGAGCAGCCTCAGTTGTCAGTCAGGAAAGGGTTGCGGTGATTTATCTGCTCCAGTTGCTTTCCCACAGCGGCTCAGGGACGACCGAGGGGCAGGCAGAGCCGTTTCACTTCACCTGTCCCCTCTCAGCCCTGCCTCTTTAACTCTGGATGCAGTCAAGCCTTTTGTGAACCCACTTTATTTCTAGCACATACCACTTCTTGGAAGGGGAAGATAATAATTTCTATGGGTTCAGCATTTGTTCTTCCAAGAAGCATTTTTTTTAAGCTTCTTTTTAAATTTACCATTTCAATAGTAGACTTAACTTCTGACCTAACAACCATCTCCCTTCTTGATTTTATAGACCTGAATCTATCTTTTCTGCCTTCTTTCTATAATGAGATTTTATTATTCTTTTATTTAACTAGTTTTTCCTCATTCCTTTGATTATATCAATGGACTCCTTCTTCTAAAAAATGCACAAATGCCCATAAACATAATTTTGCTATTATTTCAAGGGGCTCACAGATTGCCTGAAGGTCACCTATGGCCCTCTAAGATTAAGAAGTGTCGCTCTAGATTTTAAGTCCGTTTATCTTTCTCATTTCATCTACATAGCATTACGGCCTTATGATAATTATTTCTTTTGTTTTATTTCCAATGTGTTTCTTAAGGAGACCCAGGACTTCACTGAACAAATTCATAGGGCCAATGCTCAAAGCCATGCAGCC